ACCCATTCCACCAACTGTGATTTCAGGTCCTTTGCCAGGACCACTTAATGCCATTCCACCGTGGGCTGGTAGTTTTGTGGGCTGCAACAACATTTTCAATTAACAAACTGAAAAGTTACAAAATTAAAAAGTTGGTTATATAAACAAGTGAGTTACCTGAGTGGATGACCTAGTACTCCTCCTCTTCAGTCCAATAGAAACAGTACTCATTGGTGGCTGAGATGCTGCTTGGCCTCCTCTTCTATTTTGGATGTTACTGGACATCTGAGGCAAAAAAATTCCCAGTTAGTTTCCTACTTGAAGTTACAAGTCAACATTAAAAGTTGGTTACCTCATTCGATGGGATGTTTGTTGATGGAGTAGGAGTAGAAGCAGGAGTCCTCTTCAGTCCAATAGAAACAGTACTCATTGGTGGCTGAGATGCTGCTTGGCCTCCTCTTCTATTTTGGATGTTACTGGACATCTGAGGCAAAAAAATTCCCAGTTAGTTTCCTACTTGAAGTTACAAGTCAACATTAAAAGTTGGTTACCTCATTCGATGGGATGTTTGTTGATGGAGTAGGAGTAGGAGTAGGAGTAGAAGCAGGAGTAGGAGTTGATGCAGGTTGAGATGATTGCTTAGTAGTATATCTCTGCTACAACAAACAAATTAAGTATACAATAAATTAAGTATACAACAAACAAATAACAACATGTGTACAATAAATGAATGTACAAGTATGCACTAACCTTCACCAATTTGGACTTAGGATGCAGTTTGTTCTTACATGACCTCCGATTGTGCCCCTTTTGCAGACACTTAGCATATGTGACATTGATGTTCTTCCTTGATGCCTTGTGTGAATTTCTTGGCTCATCTGCTTGTCTGTTTCTTAACTTCTTTGGTCTGCCTGCTAATTTCTTTGTTTCTGGTGGATTCAATTTTTGGCCACCTTCCTCATACTCATGCATGTTTGGAACTGGGTGTATTATGAATGCACAAGTATCTAAGTACCTCGACTTGCTGTAATACTCATGCACACAGGCTTCTGACTGCTCATGATTGATTTGAATTGCACTGATGGCATGACTACAAGGTAAACTAGACAAATCCCATCTTTTGCAACTGCATGTCCTAGTACTTAGGTCCACTATGTACCTCCTCTAAAAATGATCAACCTTAAATTCCAATTGTCCACACCAAGTTGCAAAGCAGTTCCTTGATTCCACCTTCAACTTCTCAAGTTTGTCATAAATATTGGGACAAATTTCACCACTGTATTTTGCCATTCCAGCCTTTTTAACTTGAATCCTTTGCATCAATTTCCTTCTGATCCATTCAAACATGGAGATTATTAGTAACTCTCTAGCTTCTAGAATGTAAGAATTGAATGACTCACTCAAATTGTTCATAAGGATGTCACACTTGTTCTTTGGAGAAAAATGTGACCTTGCCCACAAAGCAGGGTCAGTCTCCCTTAACCACTCCACAGCTATCTTCTTATTTCCAGTTTTAGGATCAGCTTCTTCAATCTTCTTCATCCAATAATTGAATTCATGCACATTTCCAGTTGATGCATTTTTCCAGAACAGGTCTTTCAATACACAACCACTATATTTTGTCTTGAAGTTACTATACATATGTCTCAAGCAGTATTTGTGATCTGCAGTAGGGTATAACTCTGCAAATGTTTCAACCAACCCCTTCTGTCTACCTGATATAAATGTCCACCCTATCTCCTACACTCTCAATATCACTCATCAATTCCTGAAGAAACCAAGACCAAGAGGCTTTACATTCTATCTCAACCAAAGCCACTGCAATGGGAAATTTAATTCCAATTACAAGTTTGGGATCCTTCATCATCCTTTTTTTGTATTCTGGGTATCCAGCATCATCTGATGACCCTTTAAAACTATTCAATTCATAATCATCATCAACATCTGAATACCAACCAACATCACCTGGTAGATTAACTTTAGGTGGCGGTCCTTCAGTTCTTCTGTGTGAGGTTTCATAAAAAATGTCATCATTTGGACCCTCTAGGTCTTCATACAACCAACTTTGGTCATCACTTTCCTTTGCACTATCCTCAGAAGTCTTAGTATCACTATATTCTTCACTAACTATGTAGTCCAAGTCCTCAAAATCATCACTATCAGTTCTCTCTTCATCAGCCAAAAATTCAGTCTCTCTTTGTGCACTGTCACTCTCATCAGCCTTATTACCTTCTACAGACTCAGTGTTAGTAGTATGCTGCAACCCCTTCTCATGTTGTATATCATTACCCTCATGTTGTGTATCACTACCCTCACATCCCTTACCCACATCCTCACCATCAGCTACCTCTGCACTATCATATGAGTCATTCCCAATGTCATCAACTATAATGTCAATATGAGACAAGTTTATATCAATAATGTCTGTGCCAGTACCACATATGGCATTACCACCCTGTTCTGTGTCACCACCACCTATGGCATTACCACCCTGTTCTGTACCATTAGGATCTGACAACAACTCACCATTGGATAACAAAACCATAATAGGATCTACACCCTTTTCTACATAAACTACTACATAATCCAAACCCTTATAAGCCTCAAGCATTTTCATCACATCAGCATCACTGTACATTGCTTTCAACCCAACATCTAAACTATAACCAGACCATGTATAGTACATATCTATGTTTGGTCATTTTCCACCAACTAAGTCATAATAAAGGTCTCTTAACTCAAACATAGACATTTTGTCAAGGTCACAATTAATTATTTCATTCACCTTACCACCCTTATAAACAACATGTGGATGAAAGACAAAATGGCCCCCATGGTGCACTTGAACAGTTATGAATTTGTCTAACATTTTCAACTTTCACTCCTAAAGTAGAAAAGACTCTCATCAATACATTTTGGGACCACAACCCACAACCCTAAACAAAGATATAATCATGCATGTAACTAACATAAACTAAAATAATAAATAATCCCTAATCCTCGAACAGATCACACAAAACAGAAACATAATATAAAAGCATAAAGTAATAGAATTAAAAAACCTATTCTTCAGGCATAAAGTTAAAAGTTAATTGAAGAAGGAAACAAACAAAGTAATACACTGAGGATTAGGGATAAACTTCACATTTTCAGTGCATACCCCACACAAAACACAATGACAATAAACAAACAAAGTAATACACTCACATCATTCATTACAAATAAACAAACAACCATAAGGGACAACAGTATATGAACTTTATATATACAAAAAACCACCATAGCAACAGGATATGAACAACTGTGTTGCACACAGTGCCATGACAAAAAGTTAACCACTAATGGTATGAAAAAGGAAGGTACACAAAACCTAATATACAAAACATACGGGATCACAGTATACAGCAACAAAAAGTACATCAACTAACATTATATATATATATCAGCAAATTGAACTGAATGAAACACAAAATAAAAAGCAATGATTGAAAAAATACCTTACAACTTATTCTTCGTGAACTTTTGCGTTTCGTTTGCTTCATAAATCTCCAAATCAGTGACATTCGAACAATCGAAGCGCTACTTTCTCAAATCTATACACTATTTCGTTCGATTGAAATCCTAATCTGTTCAATCAAATAACCCTAATTTGTTGAATCGTTTAATCGAACAACCCTAGTTTTCTTCACTTTCCTCTTCTCAGATGCACGACTTTTGGAAGTGAAACTGGTAAGCAAGCTTCGATATATATATACAAGGGCAAATTGGTCTTTTTACGTCTGCCATTCACGGTTTAATGGTGCACATTACTCTATCAACCACAGGGGAGTTATATGGTTATATTTGAAAGTGAGGGGGGTAATCCGTACATGGCCTAAACCATAGGAGGAAAAAGTAAAGTTTGCCCTTGAATGTTTTGAGAAAATTTAATAAAATAGTGAGTTTGGCATAGTGATTATCTAGTATCACTTTGTGCGGTCTCTTGTGAAAAGAAGTTTGATATTTGTGTAATTTTAATTTTGACTATTTCATCTAAATTTTTGTTGGTTTTATTTACGTGTATAATTTAAAAAATTAACAAGTATCATAAAATTATTAATTTTAATCTCTAATTTAGACAAAATTACCCAATTAAAATTATATTTAAAATTTAAATACCAAATTATTTAAATTAAAATAAAATTTGAGTAAACTATAACCATAAAAAATGTAATGAATCATTTAGTGTAGAGCTTATTACAAAAGTGTATAAACTCCTTTCTATACCGACTACCATTTTAAGAGCCTTTTTTAAACTTTTAAATTTTATTTATTTATTTGTTGGGATATGTAGACTATCCTAGATTAGATTACACGAACCAAATTGAGTTCGTAAAATCCAAACAAATTTTCTGAAACAAGATTTATGCCTGGTAATTTGTAGCCTAAGGCCTTGTTTGTTTACTAGATAAAAGTTGCATATGATAGTGAGACTGGATATAATATGAGGTAGGTGTCAAATATTTTTTTTGTCTCCTTATATTCCGTATTTAGTTACTCTAGATATAGGAAGTCTAGATAGTATATAATGCAAAAGGATTATATGCAATACCACTTCCATGATATTATATATTTTCATTGTCGAATATAGCTTATTTTTTTTTATCAAAATGTAAAAAATAATTACTCTCATCTTATCAAATCATTATCTTTAAGTATTACATATTTCGCTCAAACTCTCATATCCAATCCGAATAATCAAACGGTTCTACGAGGCAGCCCTTCTTAACTCCACCATCTTTCCAAAACTCTTTCCAAAACCTTAGTCTTTATTTGGGATGTGAGTTTGTTTTTGGACTTTTTGACTATTTTAGTCTGAAATTAAAAAACTTTATTTGGAATAGGTTTTTTAACTTTTGTAAAAGAAAAAATGGAATGATTATAATTTAGATATAATATTTTATTTTATTTGATTAAAATAGCCAATTAGATCCCATATAATTAAATTAGCCCAATCGGGCATGCCAAACGGAGCTTAAAGACCTCCCAAAACTCATCCAGCAAACCCTAGAGTTAGCCCTTCTTAACTTCACCCTCTTCCCGCCAAACCAAAAATCCACACACACGGTCAGAATCACGTCGTCCCTCAATGGGTCTGTCCCAAATCCTCAATCGTTTACCAAGATCAATTGCAAAACCCAATCTCTCGATCCAGAAAACCAACAATACCTTCTTTCATTCCTCTCTTATTCCTTGTACGTCCACCATTGAAATTTCTTCACTGATACCCCATAAAGATCAAAACTTGGCTCCCACTTCAACCAATCATCTTGAAAATTCAATTGGGCTTCCTCACCATCCATTTCTTCTTCTGGGTTGCAGAACTTTAACCTTCCACAGATCAATCCATGATGATTCGGCGAATACCCAAGTTGTTATTGATGTCAATGTCCCAAACCCAGATGTTGAATGCGGCCGAATTGCTGAAGACTCAGAGAAACTCTGCAAAATACTATCAAATCATCACACTTCTTCAAGTCTCGAGTCTTCTCTGGACCGTGCTGGCATTGAGGTCTCTCCCACACTTGCTGTGGAGGTTCTGAAAAAGCTCAGCAATGCCGGTGTTCTCGCTCTTTCTTTCTTCAGATGGGCCGAGAAGCAAAATGGTTTCAAGCATACCACTGAGATTTACAATGCTCTGATTGAAGCTCTGGGAAAGATCAAGCAATTCAAGATGGTTTGGAATTTGGTGAGTGACATGAAACATAAGGGTCTACTGACAAAAGACACTTTTGCTCTGATTTCAAGGAGGTACGCTAGGGCAAGGAAGGTCAAAGAAGCTATTGAAGCATTTGAGAGGATGGAAAAGCTTGGAATGAAGCAAGAATTGCAGGATTTTAACAGATTGATTGATACACTGAGTAAATCCAGACATGTTGATAGAGCACACCAGGTGTTTGATAAATGGAAAAACAGAAAGTTTAAGCCCGATATCAAGTCGTACACGATATTGTTGGAAGGGTGGGGGCAAGAACAGAATTTGCTGAGATTGGATGAAGTTTATAGGGAGATGAGTGAGGATGGGTTTGAGCCGGATGTTGTGACTTATGGAATCATCATCAATGCTTACTATAAAGCTAAGAAGTACGACGAAGCGATTCAAATGTTTCATGAGATGGAAACCAAGAATATCAAGCCAACTCCACACATATACTGTACTCTGATCAATGGATTGGGTTCTGAGAGAAGGCTCAGTGAAGCTCTGAAGTTTTTTGAACTATCCAAGGCTAGTGGTTTCGTTCCAGAGGCACCCACTTATAATGCGCTTGTTGGGTCTTATTGTTGGTCACAGCGGATATATGATGCATATAAGGTGCTTGATGAGATGAAGGAACTTGGGATTGGTCCAACTTCTAGAACGTTTGATATAATTCTTCATCACTTGATCAAGGCTCGGAGGACTAAAGAAGCTTATACGGTTTTCCAGAAAATGAGCAGTGAGCCAGGATGTGAGCCTAGCGTGAGTACGTATGAGATAATTATGAGGATGTTCTGCAATGAGGAGCGGATGGATATGGCGTTGAGGGTTTGGGATCAGATGAAAGCAAAAGGAGTCCTTCCTGGAATGCATATGTTCTCAACATTGATTAACAGCTTGTGCCACGAGAATAAGCTAGACGATGCCTGCAAATATTTCCAGGAAATGCTGGATATGGGTATTAGGCCTCCTGCCCAGATGTTCAGTACTCTGAAACAGGCTCTTCTTGATGATGGGAAGAAGGATATTGTTCTAATTTTGGGTCAGAAGCTTGAGAAACTGAGGAAAACTCCACTAGTTGGTTGAGGGCTGGGGAGATGTGACCCAGCACCACCCATACCCCTCCACTGCCACCTCTACCGACACCACACAACCACCATGACCACAACCAATATCACATCAATGTTAGGATCACAACCAAACGTTGGAAAATATTTTCTGTAGACACAAACAATAGTGACTCTTTATGTCACTTTAATTAAGACCTTCTTACATTCATTAGCATCTCATCTGTGCAAAAGGAACATAAAAATTGCTAGTTACCAATTCTTGGTTTCTGACTCCAGAGATAGCTGTCTGTGCAGAAGAAGCATTGAGGCATTTGGAAGCTCTGAATGGAAGCAAACATTTGCTTCTTTCCCTGTGGTCTGTGCAGCTGAGTGCAGAGGTAGTTTCCAGTGACATGAGAATATTTCTGCATTGTAAAATGAGGAAAAGAGGGAGGGTATTGCTTCTGAATATCATGATATTTCAAATCCAAAAATCATGAAATTGGATACCCTTGGTCAAGATTTTTGGCTTGTTCCATGAAAAGACTTGTTTCTTTCTGTTTATCTTTTCGTTTTAGATTTTGTATTCTGAACCTCGGACACGAAGAGCAGACTGTTTTATAAAACCAGAAATAGACAAGTAATATGGCATTACAATTACCTGCTTCCATTTGTGACTTCCTAAAGCTTATATAAAGATGCATACAACTTTCACTGTATCTAAAATGGTCCTATATGTTGGCTTGATAGATAAGACTTATTAGTTTTGTGTGTAATGCCCAGGTTCGAGTCTTGTATCCTATCAATTGATTGTGAAAAGAAAAAAAAAAAGAAAAGAAAGAAAGAAAGAAAGGAAAAAAAAGAAGAAAGTCCTATTGTCTTTATGGCTCTGCTTACACTCAAAGAGTCATCTCTTGCTGGCTTAATCGCTCTGCACCCTCACGTTGTAAATATCTGTTTTCATTTTAAGAAACTCACAGTTTAGGGGAGTGGGTATGTTTTATACAGAGGTTAGCTTCAAGGACTATATTGCATCCCTTTTGAGTTGGCAAGGAACATGTTGAAGAAATAGCGATGAGTATTCACTGAAATTAGTGACTAATTCAAGCATGTCATTATCAATAGGAGCAAACTCATGTTAGCTCTGGCTGATCAAGAAATCCTAGCAATTGCAGATCAAACTAACAAATGTACAGATGGTAGTGAGATCATGGATTCTGGAAAGCACTCTCTCTGGCATGCCCGAATTCCAAACAAATTTATGGAAGATGTGCTTGAACATTCTTCCGGTCCATTCAAACCTGAAGAAGAGGAAGGTGTTGCAAGTGGATAGATGTGCATTTTGTGGCGAAGAAATTGAGGCATTGAGCCATCGCATTCGTGATTGTTGTTTTTGCATCCCAGCATAGCCCATTGTACTTTGTTCAGAAACTGTGCCCTGTGACAGATTTCTTTGGCTTGGTAATGGATCTGAGTTAACAATTGGATCGCAACGGTTTGGCTTTGTTCTTAATTGGTTCTGTGCTGTGAGTATTTGGAATACCAGGAATGCAATTGTTCAATCATAAGAAGAGGTTGGCAGAGGATGTTGGCAAGTTATCTGTAGGATTTCATTTGTGCTCAGTTAAAAGAGGCTTCTCCAGATCCAGTGTGCCAGAACGAGCCCTGCAAATTGAAAGCTCCCTTGCAAGGTACTTACAAAATTAATTTTGATGTTCATCTTGAGGGTGATTTACTGTCTGTTTTTAGAGGGTTGTAGAACTGGGGACCTTGATTCTTTTTGTGTTTGGATTGATTAGTCTCCTCCCTCTATCCCATGCTCATTTTTATATATTTTTTTAGATGGTAAGTATGTAGAAGGATTACAGCAAAACAGAAGCTTCACGACGAACAACATCCAATTCCTTGCCATTTTTGCTAACCCACGTGCCAGCTCGTTGCCCTGCCGCCCCACATGCCATCCCTCGCTCATTTGATTGCTTCTTAACCTTGATATTTCTTTTTAGCTGGCCTTTAGCCTTTTCTCATATCATATCTTTTATTTACATTAAATTTACCCTTAAAAAAAAAAAAGAGTGAATTTTTATTGTTAGACATTATGTATCTTATTGTTAGCACCTGCCATTTTCTTTTTGTAAGCAAAATAATCTATTACTAGATAGAGGAAATGCACATTACATGAATAAAAAAATAGTCACATGTGGCAATTATATAAGGCTAGGGTCGTGGTCAAAGATTTTCTGTCATGCTAAAATCAAGATGGGATTTTTAGCGCATGCCATGATGTGACCTTTTTTTTTTGATTTTTTTTAATTGATAAACCTCATTCAGAGGTGTTGTAACTCAATAAATCTATCAAGAAAAATTATAACCTATTTAGTTATTTATACTTTTATTACCGAAAATCCTTTTTTCTTAATTTATATTGTTTGTTAGATTATTATATCCTTATGTCTGTTGTTGATATATATTATATAGAAAAAGGATATACACATTTCTTTTTTGTTGCTACATTTATTTTGATAGTTACTGACATGGGTAAGCCCGTAAAGATTATAACCCACCATTTAGGGCTCAATACATAACTCAAATACTAAAGCCCAGTATAGCTGAAGCCCCACGTAGCAACGAGAATCAATGACATCAAGACACATGGCAAGAGAAGGGCAAGTCACATAAGCAGACAAAGATCTGCAAAGTTATTGCCATTGCACATCGCAATTAATGAAGCCCCTTACAGCATTTATTGCGATAACCCCTCTTTGTCGGGACAGAACGACTTCACCATGAACAAGGTAAGCTAGAGCATAGACTTTCGGCCAATGTGACAGGTCGGAAGGGACAACGAAATGATTACCAGAGGATATAAGCAGATGTCGAAGACGGAAAGAAGGTTAAGCTTTCTATCTCTAATTCATCTCTACATTCTACTTCTCTCTCTAACTTGCTCGTCGGAGGGTTCGCTGGGGGACTCCCCGTTCCCCGTTGAACTCTTGTGCAGGTCTTCTGGTGGGCTTGGTCATTCGGACACAGGCTTGAGGAGCGTGGATCAGTCCGACCCGTTCCACCCGGTCTAAACGGTATCATCAGTTGGCTCCGTCTGTGGGAACTTTCTTACTCCGCGCGCCAGTTGTGCTCATTGTCGCCGGAGGCCCTTTCCCAATAACCCATTCCTACCACCTGCGAAGGTGGATGGTCACAACTATATCCATGGCTTCCCACCCCAATGTTCCCGATCACCAAGCAAACCCTCCCAATCCAAACAACCCACCACAGTACTTTACCGAGCTCACCAACAACATTAACCGCCTGGCCGAGCAGAACCAAGCTTTGATTAATGCCCTACTACAAAGAAACCTTCTCATGCCCCCTCCACCACCTCCAGATATTTCACCCAACCAAGAACGAGTACCGAGTTATACTATCTAGCAGCCCCTAGCCACCCAACTTGGAGGGCCTACGACCCTCTCCCCCAGATATAAATCCACCACCCCGGGCCCCGCATCCGTCGGCCCTGGCACCAACCCCTGAAGGAGACGCCAGCATCGTCCAGCCCCCGTTGCCTGCCGGTGGTGACAACATTCCTCTTTGGGATGCAGAACTCCGAGCCATGAAGCTCCAGCTCCAAGGAGTCATGCAGAACATACAGCATAAACCTCCTACCACAGCCAACTCCTCGCTTGTTGCCCCCATCAGGGATAAACCTCTGCCCCCAAGTTCAAGATGCCCACAATCGACTCTTTCGACGATACATCGGACCTAGTCGATCACCTGGAGACCTACAGAACCCTCATGATCCTCCATGCATTCCCCGATGAAATCATGTGTCGGGCTTTCCCCATAACACTCAAGGGGTCGGCTCGACGCTGGTTTAGTCAACTGCCAGCAGATTCTGTTTCCACTATATAGCACCTCAGTGACTCCTTTCTCAGCCATTTCATTAGAGCCCAGCGCCAGAGGCGTCCGGCACCGCAGCTCCTCAACATCCGTCAGACTGAGGGGGAGTCATTGCGCAGCTTTGTCACCCGCTTCAACACCGAAGCCCTGCAAGTGGCAGAAAACGATGACAAGGTCATCCTCACGGCGTTCATGGCCGGCCTACGATCATCTGATTTCCTTTTCTCCCTCTCCAAAAACTCCCCGACCTCCATGGCAACCCTACTTTCCAAAGCCCGAAAATACATGAACGCCGAAGACTCCCTAGCCGCTCGCCAAGACCCTACAGCCAAAAACCCGATCCCCAAGGAGAAGAGAAAGGACTCAGAAACCAGGAACACCCAATACAATAACCAAACACCTCAGTATACTGACTGACCCCCCCCGAGCCGACCGGTCGGTACCAACCTAACCGCCCTGCCGGTTCGAACGATACACACCCCTAAATTCTCCCATGGAACAAGTCCTCAATCAGATCCAACGAGACTACTCCCTAAAATGGCCCCAACCATCACGGTTTCCTTCCAATCGGCGGGACCAGTCCAAATACTGCCGTTTTCACCAGGACCACGGCCATAATACCGAGGAGTGTGTTAACCTCAAAGATCAGGTCTAGGGCTTGATACGTCAGGGACGTCTCAGTCGATTCACAGAAACCTGTCCTTAGCAGAGGCAAAGGATTGAACCCATTAGAAACAATTGCCGGCGCACCCCTTCCCGGCAACCAGCATAACCTAACCAAGGCCATGATCGCCCTCCACAGCAACCCCGAGCACAAGATAACCCCACCCCTCCTGTCGGAGAAATCAGAGTCATTGCAGGCGGACTTGCTTGTGGAGGACCATCCCGCTCGGCTCAGCGGGCAGAACTCAGAAAAATAGGACAGGGCTCAGACAAAGAAGTTGCCACATTGGACCGCCCTTCCAAACAGCCCAAGCAATGGATGGAACCCGTCACCTTTACGGAAGCAGACTGCACAGGTATCTGTTACCCCCATGACGGCCCCCTCGTCATTTCTGCCCTCCTCTCCAATTGTAATGTCAGACGGGTTCTCGTCAACAACGGCAGCTCTTCAGACATCATCTTCCTAAATGCCTTCCGCCAGCTCAAGATCGGGGATGAAAGTCTGTCTTCTCTCCAAACCCCATTGGTCGGTTTTACTGGAGACCGGGTGACCTCCATTGGCTCCATCGATCTTCTCATCACCATCAGAGAATACCCACGGCAGATCACCAAGTTGCTTACCTTCCTGGTCGTTGACTGTCCCTCCGCCTACAACATCATCCTTGGTCGCACCGCCCTAAATGCCTTCTAAGCTATCACATCCACTTTCCATCTTGCCGTAAAGTTCCCTACCGATCTTGGGGTCGGCACGGTCAGGGGAGATCTGACTGTGGCCAGGGAATGTTATGTTGCCTCACTTAAAGAGGTCAAGCTCAAGGAGGCCATGATCATTGAAGGACTCGACGTCAGAGACGGGGACGAGCTGGTTAGGGGGGAACCAGTGGAAGAGCTTCTCGAGGTCTTTATCGATCCCACCAACCCAGCAAAAACTGCCAAGATCGGCAGCCAACTATCCGCCCAGGCCAAAGCCGACCTTATCGCCCTCCTAATTGAGCACAAAGATGTATTTGCCTGGACCCATTTCGATATGTCAGGTATTGATCCCTTATTTATCACCCATCGTCTCAGCATTAAACCCCATTTCCAACCTTTCCGCCAGAAGCAGCGCATCTTTCACCCGGACGCAATACTCTCATCGTTGCGGAAGTAGATAAACTCATCGAGGCACAATTCATAAAAAATGTGGACTACCCTAGATGGTTGTCAAACGTGGTCTTGGTCCGTAAGAACAACGGTAAATGGCGACTCTGTGTCGACTATTCTGACCTCAATCGAGCTTGCCCTAAGGATAGCTATCCCCTTTCGCGCATAGATCTGCTTGTTGACGCCACGGCCGGCTATCAAATGCTTAGCTTCATGGATGCCTTCTCTGGGTATAACCAAATTCTGATGCACCCGTTTGACCGGGAACACACCTCCTTCATCACTGACCGGGGAACTTACCATTACTGTGTGATGCCGTTTGGGTTGAAAAATACCGGAGCCACTTACCAACGGTTGGTTAATGCCATCTTTCATCATCAGATAGGCCGGAACATGAAAGTATATGTCGACGACATGTTAATCAAGAGCAAGCTCTCCACTGATCATCTGGCCAACCTACGAGAGACCTTCGGCACCCTACGAAAATATCAAATGAAGCTCAATCCGGAGAAATGCGCCTTAGGCGTAGGATCTGGGAAGTTCTTGGGTTTCATGGTCAGTTAGCGGGGCATCGAAGCTAACCCCGAAAAGATCAAGGCCTTAATTGAAATGCAGTCGCCCAGAACGGTTAAGGAGGTTCAGAAGCTTACTGGCCGAGTTGCCGCCCTCAACCGCTTCATTTCCCGCGTAATGGACAAGTGCCTCCCCTTCTTCAAAGTTCTTCAACAAACTTTTGAGTGGACGACAGAATCCGAAGAGGCCTTTCAGCAGTTGAAACAGTGCATGGCGAACCCCCTTACTTTCTCAGGCAATCACGGGCGAACCCCTCTTTCTCTATTTAGCCGTGTCAAACACCGCAGTCATGCAGCACTCATCAGGGAAGACAGCTCTGTCCAACGACCGGTCTACTACATCAGTCGGGCTCTCAGGGGAGCGGAACAGAACTACTCGTTAGAAAAAATGTCTTTGGCCTTGGTCACCGCCTCCAGACGACTCCGTCCTTACTTCTAAGCCCATTCCATAATGGTCCTCACTGACCAACTATTGAAGAAGATAATGCAACAACCAGAACTTTCCGGCAAACTTATGCAATGGTCGGTCGAGCTCAGCCAATTTGACATCTCCTACCGGCCTTGAACGATGATTAAAGGGCAGGCTGTTGCTGATTTCATCATGGAATTCACTAATCCCACTCCAACCACAGCTTCTCTGCCCTTGCCACCCCCTACCGAGCCAGAAGACCCCCACTCTTGGACTCTCAACATTGACGGATCATCCCGTAAAGAAGGCAGTGGGGCTGGTCTCATCCTCACCGCTCCAGAGGGGGGTTATTTTAAATGTGCTCTCCGCTTTTTGT